TCACGCAGCTGGGCGGATCCAGACATCGATGTCGGGATCCGCTTCAGCTGTGGCGTCTCAGTATTCCGAGAGCTGTAGCTCGCGGTATACTGAGCCTAGGATGACGGGAGGACGCTAGTTTGTGTCCTCCCGTTACCCTAAGGAGAACTATGGGGAAAAGCCCTGACCCCATAGTTCTCCTTTAACATTGAGTGGTGCAAGAACATATGAGTCAATACTGTTGGCTTTGTTACTATCTAAAAAAGAAGACAAACTGAAACCTGTCGTTAAAAATAAAAAACAGCTCCAGCTGCAATACTTGCCTCCTCTCCGGCGCTGTCACCCAGACTTTGCTCCATACTGATTCTTTTTCTGGGTTCAATAACACCCAGCATCATTCAAGCCACTTCCTGGGAGCCCGAGTTTCCAAGGCTCCGCTATCATTCATTAGTTACAGTGTCTTATCAATATTTACAAAAAGTGGCTTATGGTCAGTTGCCTTGCGTAAGAATTAGAAAGCAATACCCTTTGAACCCATATTGTGAACATTTTTTAACTTGGTTTTTGTTCTCTGTCCATCTCTTGATTCTAAAAAATCTTATTCTTGGTTATCACCTTGTAAACATAATCACTAAAATGTTATATTTTGTGATTTCAAATGTAATTTTTGATCATTTCAAATCAGCAGTTTTCATTAGAATAATATCTGGTGATCCTGCCATGAAGGTCCTTGTTCAGACACTTGCTGTTATAGGGTGACAATGCTCTGTCCCTGTCTCCCAATTGTGCTCTTGTGTTGTGACCCTTTGGGCTTCCAATGGGGGCTACTAGGGGCTATTTTTAGCATACACTGACCTGGTATGGTCCACTGTTGTCACCATCAGAAAACCCGCCCTGGAACATGCCATGCAGCCATTGCTGCAGTGCATGTAGACAGGAAGGGCCTTCAAGAGGCTGCAGGAAATCAGTAGCACTGGGATGCAACAAAGGATGTAAAGAGAATTTTGTTTTGATAAACAACGCTTTAGAAAAAAATAAAGTCATTAATTTAGGTATTACATCTACGTTATTGACATTGCAGTCTTCTCTTCCAGATCAGCCATGGGGCCTCTACGTCTTCCTTGAGCGACAAGGTGAACTTCCCATCTTTCATGCGCACGGTGTCCAATAATATGTTTCAAAACGTTGCCCTCTCTCAGCTCGTCCATTTGTTCAATTGGACTTGGGTGGGAATGTTGATAGTGGACAACGATGTGGGTGAGCAGGGTGGGAGGATGATCAGGGCTGAGATAGAAAAAAGTGGAAGCTGTGTGGCCTTCGCCGAAAAAATCCACCTAAGCTACTCTAGAGAGAAAGTCCTGAGGGTGGTGGGAATCATAAGACAGAGTTCGGTCAACGTAATTATCCTCCACAGCACCGAGCCCCACGTCATGGCTCTGCTCGATGCCTTGTTTGACCAAGGTGTGACTGGGAAGATTTTCATTTCGTCCGTTTCCTTCACAATCACTCCCGGCCTCTTCTCCAGGAAGGCATGGAAAGTTCTCAATGGGACTGTGGGCCTAATGCCTAAAACAAGACCCATGCCAGGCTTTGAGTCCTTTCTTCAAAGTCTACATCCAGCTTCAAACTCTTCGTACCCCTTTATTAAACCTTTCTGGGAAACGGCATTTCACTGCAGCTGGTCTGGTGAAAGAACGCTAGAAAATGAAGCAAATTCGATGAGCAGTGGGTCACCATGCACCGAAGACAGAGATTTGAGGATGAAGATCCCGGAATTATTTGAGCTCTATGACCTGAGCTACACTTACCATGCCTACCTTGCCATATATGCCTATGCCCACGCTCTTCACGCACTGCTCAAGTGCCAGCCAACTCACTGTATTTATCCTGACGTCAGCAGCATCCGACCCTGGCAGGTAAAACTAATGAGAGCATGTGGTAACATCAACATAGATAGCAGAGCAGCTCGGTAGTAAAGATAAGGACATAGTTATCACAGTCAGGTGCTACTTCTATCAGGTTTTCCAAACAAAATGTATTTTTGAGCAATAATCATGGAAATGAAAGGACCAGACCATGCAAATAATGATAGACCAACCTATGGTAGGTGTTGGAGTGTTTAACTACCCAATTGTTATTTAGACCTCTCAGGACACCAGTAGTGGGTTCTCCAATATCTTGGCTCTTCGCACCCGCTTTATATAACAATGAAGAAACAGGATGTCACCAGCACACCGGAGAAACAAATATCTCTTATTGACACATAGACATATTGTCACAAGGATGCCGATGTTTCGGGGCCGCACAGGGTCCCTTCATCAGGCTCGGTATGATGAGGTGCATGGTGTTCCTGTAACCCTGACAGCCAGGCCGAATTCCCCACAAGGCCACCGAGGCCCGGCCTCGGGGCGGCAGGGCGCAGAGTAGGGGTTGGCAGGGGGGCGCATTGCATAACCTGGCCTTGGGGCGGCAGGGAGAGTAAATCCGGCCCTGCTGACAGCAGCGGCTGTTGAGAGGTAATGGTCGCTGAACCAGCACAGACCCGCACATTGCTGCAGGGCCCTCTGCTCATCCACACATGACAAGGTTCTATAGTTCTAAACCTTCAAGTTACATATATGATAATATACAGGTTTCCTCTCTGTATTTAGTATATTGGCCATCTTTAGTATTTTATATTGCCTATTACAATTCTTGCATTTTGGCGGGAATGTGACATCATTGTGACATCAGGGGGGTGGGGATTTTACTTTTGTATTATTTCTGCACTGCTTTATTCACAAGTTTTATACCTTTATATAAAGGTGATTGTAAACTGCATTGCTGTCATATTGAGCCTTATTAAGGGTCCCCTGTGGCCCTGAGACCTTAGAAAAGGTTATATTGTGCCAGATGAAGGCACCATGTGCGGCCCCATCTATGCATCAATAAAAGGCGTTGTTGAGACATATTTCTCTGGTGTGCTGGTGGCATCCTGTTTCTTCATTGATCTGAGCTAGACCAGATCACACATCCTTATGTGGCTTACCGATAAGGAGTACGGCGGGACACCCATTGGACTTGCTTTACGAAACAGTCCCATTCCTGGACTGGTTTACATTGCAGAGAATGCAACTGGAAGAGTGGAAAACCCATCATTATGTGTAAACCCTGAATCACAGGTGAACCATTGTAAAATAAATGTTGAATGAATAAAGAAATATACACTGATCAACCATAATATAATGAGCATCTGCCTAACATTGAGTAGGTCCCCCTTTTCCTGACCCACCCAGGCATGGACTCTACTAGACCTCTAAAGGTGTGCTGTGGTATCTGGCACCAAGCCGTCAGTAGCATATCCCTTAAGTCCTGTAAGTTGTGAGGTGATCGGCCTCCACGGATCGGACATGTTTTTCCAGCACATCCTACAGATGATCGATTGGATTGAGATCTGGAGAATTTGAAGGTTAAGTCATCACCTCAAACTGGTTGTTGTGTTCCTCAAACCATTCTTGAACCATTTTGCAGTGTGTCAGGGCGCATTATCCTGCTGAGAGAGGCCACTGCCATCAGGGAATACCGTCTCCATGAAGGGGGGGACTTGGTCAGTAACAATGTTTAGGTCGGTGGTACGTGTCCAAGTAACATCCACATGAATGGCAGGACCCAAGGTTTCCCAGCAGAACATTGCCCAAAGCATCACCCTGCCTCCGCCGGCTTGTCTTCTTCCCATAGTACATAATGTTTTGGCTGATCGGTGTATATCCTATTGAAGTTCCACATGCCAGTAGATATTTAGTCACACAACCAAATCCTAGCTCTAGAGATCCTAAACATAGGATCATAATATGGATTCTCCAGAAGACTCATAGAATAGCAAAACATTGAAATTTTTTCTCTGATGACCCGCAGGTCCTCCATTATCTAAAGAAAACCCCTTTCCGCCCCCCATCTGGGGAAGCCATCACGTTTGACGCCAATGGAGATGTTTCTGCATCATATGACTTTGTGACCATCCGAATCCTTCATGGAGAATTCCAGCTTGTGACTGTGGGATCGTTTAACCCCGGGGCAAAGGCAAGTCATGCGATTGATATCAACACCAGCGAAATTCTGTGGAATGAGCGATTCTCCCAGGTAAGAATAAGTTATAATACTCACTGACCTCCTGAGCACACTTCCGATGCAGATCAGAAGATGCCCTCAAAGTATATCCAAAGCTTAAACTTTTGACATTTTGGATAGAGTAGGAAATATTTAAAGCTGAAGGTCCATCTGCTTATATTTTGTTCAACACTTACCTTTTCCAGATGTTTTCAGGCCAGTCACATGACGCTCAGTGTCCCCTTTGCTTCTCTTGGGCTGAGGGGTCCTCAATGATGAAGAGAGTGTTAGCGCAGCTCTCTACATCATTACACTGCAAGTGCAGGGCTCCGTGCAGATGCTCAGTGACACTCAACCCAGAAGACTGAGGACATCTTGTGGCAGGAAAGAGGTACTGCTGGGGACACCTCCATGACAAAGATGAGTATGGAAACTTTAAAGAGACCCTGTCAACTTGCCCATCCAGGCAAGTGTTTGTGTAAAGCCACCCCCTGACCACTTTACACTCACCTCTCTAGTGGCCACCACTTCAAAATACTTTCAGGTATACAGAGGCATGTGACCTATTCCCATGATGCAATGCTCACCTTTCTAGTTATCCTCTGCCGCTCCTACCTCCATCACAGCCACCACCAAAATACCCAATGTGGGCCGGTGACGGTGCAGTGAGGTGTCTAGTTGCCAGACCATTCATTCTAACAAAAGTCTTCCCATAAGATTACATGCACCTTTAGCATATTGTATGAATGTTATTTTCCTGCAAAAGCCTCTGTAGACATCCAAAGGTTAAGTTGGTGACAGGGTCTCTTTAAGAAAAAATAGTTTAGGAATTTCAGTGGACACAAGTATGGTTTAAGCTAGAGATGTAACCCAATACATCACATGGTAAATGCCCTCTGGATAAATATATACAGATCACCCGGGAACTCAGACATGTCCATCAGTAATGTAGTCTACATGGCCACTGAGGAATTTCCCTTGTCTGCAGGTCCCCCAGTCATCGTGCAGTGACAGTTGCCCTCCCGGATACAGGAGGGTCACCAGACAAGGTCAGCCTTCATGTTGCTTCGACTGTGTCTTGTGTTCTGCAGGAGACATTTCCAACAGGACAGGTGAGCTCCATACCAAAGTCTAATATGTTTTATCACATTGGAGACATTAGATATCACAACCTGAAGAATGATTCTGTGATAGAATTTGTAGCTTTAGGACATAACACACTATAGAGAAAAATGAGAGGAGAAGAAACAAGGGAATGCCCTCTATGTACTGATGTTAGAGTCAGTGTAGGAGTTTCCTATGCTCCATCTAAGTTCGGGAATGCCATGTGAACGGTATGTACTCATCGTATGGCTGGGTGGAAGATTTATAAATCGCCCCCCCCAGAGATGAGTGCATAGACCTTCAGATACTTTGCCTGCTGCCCCCAAATTTAAAGGAGAACTATGGGGTCAGTGTATTTCCCCATAGTTCTCCATAGGGTAACGGGAGGACAGAAACTAGCGTCCTCCCGTCACCCTAAGCTCAGTATACCGCAAGCTACAGCTCGCGGTATACTGAGACGCCGCAGCCGGAGCGGATCCCAACATGGACGTCGAGATCCGCCCAGCTGCGTGAGTGACAGCTGGCTCTGCCTATCTAGAGGCAGAGCCAGCTGTACCCGGCCCCTCCCCCGTCCGTTCCGCCAGTCAGCGCTGGCGGATCGGAGCGGGGAGGGGGAATCCAGCCCCTCCCCCTGTCACGGCAGAGAGCTGTGACAGGATCTAGAGGTGAGCGAACGCCGGTATGTGTTCGCTCACCTCCTGATCTACTGAGCCGACCTGTGACAGTCTCATTGTCACAGGTCGGCTAGAACTATGAGGAGAGTGAAAAGCACTCACCTCATAGTTCTCCTTTAAGGCTTTCTATCATACAGGACTAACCTCAGTTTCTATCCCACCTCTAGCACATGACTATTGGCCAGTAACTATGATGTCCGGCCTTGCTGAGTAATAGTGGAATGTCATAGCTGGGAGGGTTTATGTCCACATTTTCATAATAGAGCACCCTCGGTTATGAGGAACATGGGGCCCGCTGTAAGCAGTTGGTGATGCTTTTGAGGGCTTCAAGTAGTGTGATACAAGAAAAGGGAGAAGAGGAAAATATAGTGACATGCTTTATACACCGTAGAGACTAAAACACTGGTGGGAAAATTTTAGGAATGTACAGATTCCAAGTACCGTACTTGGTACAAGTACAGAGACTTTTCCAACTCCAAGACTAGAGGAAAACTCCAAAGTTAGGAGGCAGCTGTCATTTTTAAGGAGCATTGGCTACGGGGCTCCTGGGATATGTGCATCCCTGTTTAAATGCATAATTGGTTTTATATATATTAGGGATGCACCGATACCATTTTTCCAGACCAACTACCGATACTGGTCCAAGTAATACAGATACCAAGTACTGATACATTTTTGTTTAGTGTCATGTAAAACAATACAGACTAATGATTTCAGGACAGTGGTGGAGCACCAGGGCCCAGTCCGCAGCTGCAACCACTACGGCCCTGGTAGTTCTTGTGGAAATGCCAAGTATCGGCACTGGTATCTGAGCATCCCTCGAAAATTTACCTGTGAAGCCAAAAAACACTCCCAAGTTAGAATCTCTGGGTTCACCAAGCAAGTGGTGCATTCTACTCACAGAAGTAAACATGGAATTCTACTCAACTGAATTTTCAGATGAATTCCTCAGATGATGTTGATTAAATTATTTTATAAACAAGGAGAAGTGTCACCATTCAAGTATGGCTATAAAAAGAGGGTAACTGGAGATGCAATGTCACCATAACTATGCAATTTGTTTTATTGGAATATCACATAGAGCAGTGCAACATTTGGGAACCACTAGGAGTTTCTTCAAAGGGTCACCTTGCCTGATGAAGGGATCCCTGGTGGTTCTGAAACATTGGATTGCTGGAATGTACGTTCTTCTGTTTGCTGTAGTGCCATCCAACAGGTGTTTCAGCATCCCATACTAAAGTGCAATGGAGATATATACACTGAGTGGTCAGATTATTATGACCACCTGGCGTTTGTAGGCAAATGAGCTATAATTTGGCGCTGAAGTTGCTAGAGGGCCAGACCATTATAAATAGGGAAGTGGGTTGGTTACCACGACAGTAGAAGTGATTTGTTTCTGAAGATTCGTGGAAACAACGCGATGTAACAGCCTCTGAACGTGGGATGATTGTTGGCGCTCGGAGCCATGGAGCGAGTATCAGCAAAACAGCAGAATCCGTTAAATGTTCAAGAGCAGCTGTTGTTAAAGTGTTTAAAGACCGGACTGTGAGTCGAAAATCTGGGTCTGAACGTGCGAATTGTGTCCGTCAGCGACTAGTCAATGTTAGGGCAGAACGGGGGAGGGGCAAGACTGGTACATGACAACAGAAGGGCAACAGTGCCGTGTCAGATTCCTTGCATCACCTTTCATCATCTCGTGGAGTCACGAGGCGGCCCAACGAAGTCATCTCGTGGAGTTATCTCGTGGCCCAACGAAGTACTGATGGGCTGGTCATAATAATCTGGCCACTCAGTGTATATATATATATATAATGAGACACAATCCAAATACGCCACAAGATAGATCGGGTCAAGGGTTTGGGTGTGCAAACTGAGCACAAAGGGAGATCTTTATTTTCTTGAATAAGCCATATAATGTATAAGAAGAGTAAAATAACACAAGTGTTTCTTTCCAGATGCTGCTGAATGTCTCAGATGTCCAGGAGATCAGTGGTCAAATGAAGAACGGAACAGATGCATCCCAAAGATTGTAGAGTTCCTTTCTTATCAAGAACCACTAGGAATTATACTAGTACTGATGGCCATTGGGTCCTCCATCCTGGCACTTTGCATCCTATTGATATTTATTCGGTTCAAAGACACGCCAGTGATCAAAGCCACCAACAGAGAATTGAGCTACATACTGCTGGTGTCTCTCATTCTCTGCTTCCTCTGCTGTCTTGTGTTCATTGGTCAACCGTCTACTATCACCTGCCTCCTAAGACAAACCTTCTTCAGTGTGATCTTCTCCATTAGTATCTCCTCAGTCCTGGCCAAGACTATTATGGTGATCCTTGCCTTTAAAGCCACCAGGCTCAACAGTCCATTAAGAAAATGGCTTGGTCCCACCATCCCTCGTAATGTTGTAGGACTTTGTTCAGTTCTGCAGATTCTTATTTGTTCGGTGTGGCTTCATAGGTCACCGCCGTTTCCGACTATGAACACTGAAACTGAGAATTTTAAGATTATTCTGGAGTGCAACGAAGGCCAGAAAGTGTTTTTCTACCTATCTTTGGGGTTCATGGGTTTTCTGGCCATGATAAGCTTCTTCGTGGCTTTCCTGGCAAGGAACCTTCCTGGAAGCTTCAATGAGGCCAAACTGATCACCTTCAGCATGCTGGTCTTCTGTTGTGTCTGGATCTCCTTCATCCCAGCCTATCTGAGCACCAGTGGCAAGTACACCGTGGCTGTTCAGATATTTGCTATCTTGGCTTCCAGTGCTGGACTGCTGTGCTGTATTTTTCTTCCCAAATGTTGCATTATCCTACTGAGACCAGAAAGGAACAGCCGACAGTTTATAGGTGTCCACAAGGTTTTTAGACATGAAAGGTTATAGGTGCCAACAAAGGTGTTTGCGGGTGCGGCATTCCACTGCTGGCAATGCATCCAGCTTCAGCCTTTTAAATGATTGGGTTCTGGAGCACCAATAGGCTTATTGCCTCCAAACTCCGATGCCAGGAATGATTGAAACAATTGGTTGGTGGAAAGTTGTAAGATGTACTGTTGACAAATCCGCTGCCGATTACAGGACACATAAACAGGAACAACCAGTATATGTCGACATGTATATGTCTCCAAGTTATATAAAGCTGAAAATACAGGAACGTACCTGTTAATTGGGGATGGGTGGATCGGCCAGGGCTGCACTCACCAAATCTGTTCATCAAATCCAATTTGAAATCTCTTAAACCCCCAAATTTGCAGCAAATCCTATTGAAGTCTATGGGTTGTAAATCTTGATGCTAAATTCTGGCCTTCTCCAAGGCTAATAGGCAAGCTATTGTCACAAAAGGGCATGGGGGGGGGGGGGGGGATTTATCAAAGCAGGAGCAGACAAAATCT